CCAGGTCTATAAGTGAGCACGTAATTGAAATGTGTTAGAAACAAGGACCAACGAGCTTGCCTGGCGGACAAGCGCTTGGCCTCCCCTATGTAGGACAAATTCTTGTGATCCGTCAAAATAGTAACCGGGTATAATGTCCCCTCCAACAAATGTCTCCATTCCTTTAAAGCCATAATGACCGCTAACAGTTCCCTATCACCAATGTCATATCTACTTTCAGGCCCAGATAATTTCTTGAAAAAAAAACCACAAGGATGTAACGGTTTATCCAAACCTAGCCTTTGGGACAAGATAGCGCCTATACCTGTCTCCGAGGCGTCAACCTCGAGTAAAAAAGGCAAAGATGTGTCAGGATGAACTAATATCGGTGCTGAGGCAAAATGTTCTTTGAGTGTTTTGAAAGCAGAGAGAGCCTCTGTAGACCAAGTCTTGGTATCAGCACCCTGTCTAGTCATATTGGTAATAGGAGCAATAATAGAAGAGTAACCTTTAATGAAGCGCCTATAATAATTGGAGAATCCGATAAACCTCTGAATGGCCTTGCGTCCCCTGGGCAATGGCCAATCTAAAATCGATTGGAGTTTAATGGGGTCCATCCTAAATCCGTCTCCAGAAATAACGTAGCCAAGAAAGTTTATCTGAGATTGGTCGAAGCTACACTTTTCCAATTTGCAGTACAATCCATGTTGTAACAGCTTGCGCAGTACCCTTCTGACTTGTCTGTGGTGAGTCTCAATCTCTCTAGAGTGTATTAGTATATCATCCAAATATACTATAACGCATTCATGCTGAAATTCCCTAAGAACCTCATTAATAAGGTCCTGGAATACTGCAGGTGCATTGTAAAGCCCGAAGGGCATTACCGTGTATTCATAGTGGCCATAACGGGTATTGAAAGCTGTTTTCCATTCGTCTCCCTGTTGAATTCTCACCAAGTTATAAGCTCCCCTCAAATCTAACTTGGTAAAAATCTTGGAGCCTTTCAGTCGATCAAAGAGCTCAGTAATTAAAGGAATAGGATAAGCATTTCTAACAGTTATCTTATTCAAGCCCCGATAATCAATGCAAGGCCGTAGAGTGCCGTCTTTTTTATCTACAAAAAAGAAACCGGCCCCGGCCGGAGAAGATGATCTCCTAATAAATCCTTTGTCTAGGTTTTCAAGTATGTACTCCTCTAGGACTAAGTTTTCCTTAGTGGATAAAGGATATACCGTACCCCTCGGAGGCATAGTACCAGGTAAGAGTCTAATTTTACAGTCGAAAGACCTATGTGGAGGTAAAGTATCAGCCCTCTTTTTGTCAAAGACTGCCTTTAAATCCAGGTACTGCGACGGTATCTGTAAATCTGTAGGTTGGGAAGAGTTAACCGGGGCGTCAACCCTGCAACTCGGTGAGACTTTCTGCAAACATCCTCTCTGGCAACCCTGACCCCAGGAGACTATCTCACCCAGTTCCCAGTCAATGATAGCGTTATGCTTCTTAAGCCAGGGATACCCCAAGACTATAGGAACTGAAGGAGATGAGATCAGCATGAGGGATATTCTTTCCTCGTGAAGGATACCAGTGGTTAACTTAATTGGTATGGTTTCACGAAAAATAACAGGTTCAGATAATGGTCTACCATCTATGGCCTCAATGGCCAAGGGTGTATCCCTTAGCTGAGATGGGATAGAATGGTTAGTGACAAAGGCTTGGTCAATAAAGCTTTCAGCTGCTCCGGAATCTATCAAAGCCATAGCATTAAGTACTCCCTTTTCCCAAGCTAAAGAAACAGGTATCAGAAGCCTATGATCCTTATAATCATATATAGAGGACAAGATAGAAACACCCAAGGCCTGTCCTCTTGAGAAACTTAGGTGCGAGCGTTTCCCGGCCGGTTAGGACAATTTAGGCGTAGGTGACCTCTAATTCCGCAATACATACAAAGACCCTCCCTTCTCCTGTACTGTCTTTCCTCTTCTGAGAGTCGAGTATTACCTATTTGCATAGGTTCTGGGAGAGCTAAAGTAGTAGAATCAGAAGTCTGAAATGAGGGAGCTAGTCTTATGGAGGATCTGCGGGTTCTATCCTGAATATTCTGCCTCTGTCTCATACGTTCATCTATTCGGGAAATAAATGAAATCAGATCCTCCAAATTTTCAGGAAGATCTCTTGTGGCCACCTCATCTAAAATCTCATCAGATAACCCGTTCATAAATACGTCCATATAAGCCTGTTCATTCCACTTGACTTCTGCTGCCAAGGATCTGAACTCTAAAGCATAATCCACTAGGGTTCGGTTATACTGTCTAAGACGTAACAGTAGTCTAGCTGCATTGGCCTTTCTTCCTGGGGGGTCAAAAGCTCTCCTAAATGCAGCGACAAAAGCATTATAATTATAAACTAACGGGTTATCATTTTCCCACAGGGGGTTAGCCCATCTAAGTGCCTTGTCAATGAGCAAGGTAATTATAAATCCAACCTTCGCCCTGTCAGTAGGGTAGGCGTGGGGTTGTAACTCAAAATGGATACCTATCTGGTTTAAAAACCCTCGACAAGTGTCAGGAGCGCCGCCATAGCGTGACGGGGACGTAACACGGGAAGAAGTAGCCACTGTGGCTACCTCTAGGCCTGTACTTATAGGAGAGATAGATGGGGTACGCATCTCCTCTGAGTGATTACTAGGACGAGATAGCAATGCTTGCAGAGCTAGAGCCATCTGGTCCATTCTATGATCCATGGCCTCAAATCTAGAGTCAGGAGAACCGACCTGAGAGTTTGTACCTGCAGGATCCATTGCCCTGTCGTAATGTCAGGATCGTGACAGGGATCCAACACGCAGAATACAAACAGGAGATAGGTACGTATACCGGACCTTAGAATGGCCGGACGAACGTAAGGAGAAAGCAAAAGAATGGTCAGAGACAAGCCGAGGTCGAGGGAACGAGAGATCAGGTAAGCGAGAGACAAGCCGAGTCAAAAGGACAAGAGAGAAAAGCAGGGTCAAAATACAAGCCGAGTCAGGAACCAAAAGACAATAGAGGTAATTGCACTGAGTGACCAGACTAGCTAGAACCACGACAGGGCAATGAATCATTCCACAGAACCCTTTTTTATACCTTGGCTCTAACTGTTGGCTCCGCCCCCAACGAGTCCTGATTCGTTGTTCGGCACTTGGTTGCCGTGATTGACGGGTCGGAACGTGATTGCCGTCATGACGTCGGCTACTGAGCGCCGCGTCATAAAAGGAGGCGGAGCTATCGCGGCCGGCGTGTAAGCGACCGGGAGGAGTGCAAGGATCGGGTGAGTCAGCCCCCCTGGGAGGATGGACGTCTAGGTGTCTAACCTCCTCCGAGGTAGACACCAAAGGTAACCTGACAGCTGATTAGTTACAGATAGAATGTAGAATGAGTTGATGGAATACGAAATGTGTATGTATTGTTATTACAACTACTTTGAATTAATAGTAATAAAATAATAACCAGAATCTATGTGGCTGATGTGCTCCCCAGCACTGTGCAATGAACAAGATATGTCAGAAATTGCAGCAGGACAGGTTAGTTGTAATAAAGTAGCAAAAGAGACGGTGACAGCTTGTGAGGTTGCTGAGCATAAATAAAGAAATTAGAATACGACGTTTGTACATTTCTTCTCGCATTATGTTCTATTTGGCGGACATCATGCTACATACAAATGTTGCTGGTAAAACATAGAGCCACATGTGCTAATCTCTGCACACACACGGATGGGTGCAGTGGTTTGTCCAATGAAGTAGAGCTCGGGGTGGGGGTTGTATTTAGGAAGTGAGGGAGTGTAAGAGGCGCTGAATGGAGACAGATGAAGGGGGCACGAACTTGAGTTATACCACCGAATGATTTAAGCGCAGGAAAGTTGTTTGAATGAAAGAGAGTGAATAGACTTACAGTTTATGATGGAAACTGCCGAATGGATTCCGTTCGTGTGAAAATACTCACGAAACTTGGCGTGCGAGTTCCTAAGAGTGATATTTTTTAAGCGTTGCGGCAAAATGACATCAGAGGTCTGCGTGGAGCGCAAATGAAGGTGGAAGACAGGTAAGCAAGGGGTTTGCTGGGTTTATATAGGCCTCAAATCCCTCCCACAAGTTCGGGCATACGCCATCTATATATATATATTACAAGATACGCATTTTATCTGTTTTTTACATATATATATATATATATATATATATATATGTATACATAAAATGGAGAGACATTTCAACATTTTTTCTCATTATTTGAAATGAAAAAGATGCCCACAAAGGAATTATAGCCATTCTTTTCCTTTATAAAAATAAACATTGCAAGACCACACGGCTATGTCTTCTGCTATCAAAGCTTGACAAAGTAAAACAATGCAGTCTAGATAGATAGTCTTAAGCCATCTGGTATTTAATGGCAGCAAAGTTAAAATTCACAATAATATGCAAACCTTTAAAAAGCTACATCTGGAGACCATGTGGTGTTTTATTGACTCTCTGTCGTAGATGATGCTTTTAGAGTGTTTATATACAGTTCTGGGTTTGTCATTCTACATGATAATAACACTGTAACCTTCACACCACGTCTTCTAAAGTAAAATTCTAGCTTGTCTGCACTGCAGAAGCTGTGATACCATATGCCCATGTTTAAAATATTGATAGTTAATGATAAAGTAAAGAAATACAAATGCATTGTTTTTGTCACTTCTCTAGCTATAAATATGTATATTAGAAGTGAGAAAAACAATGCATTTGTGAGACACATGCAGCCACAGTTCCGGCTGATGATCAGCTATATACCATTCCAAGACATACTTAGGCAGTGCAAATTGGCATATCGGCCTACCGGCAGCACCCCACCACTATGGGAAAGCCCTCCAGAAAATCCAGAGTAATCCGTGAGGGCAAACCCGAGATATCAACCTACAACTGTCCCAACCACAAAGGCCAAAGATGGCGGACGTCGGGCTAGGCTCAACCCGAGACTCAATATTGGCCTAGGAAGAAGGGGTACAAGAGCATGCTGGGGCACCACCTCACCCTGAAATCTCAGCACCAATCTGAACCTCACCAAGCCTCTAAAGCGGACCTTATCTCCATGAGACCTGAACTTAAGGCCCTCTTTGCTTCTGAGCTGGGAGTGCGAAGGGAAGATCTGGGCATATCAACTGGCCGCATAGATGCTATGGAGGAAGATATACATGACCTCCAAATTGCTCATGACATAGCTGCAGCACCGCTACTAAAATTAACCAACACTTGCACGCTTTAAGTGCAAATGTTGGGCAGCTAGAAGGTGCAGATATGGGGCATACCTAAAGATATGGGGCATATCTGACAATATGGATTGGGTTGAACTACCACAGTTAATACAGTGACTATTCACTGCCACCTTGACGCCCAAATAAGCAAAAGGGCTGTCTCTAGATAGCCATTATCGTATACCAGGGCATCCAAACACCAAAGCACTGATGCCGAGGGATGTTGTATTATGCTTCAAGACAGATAATGACAAAGAAGCCTTCCTGCGGGCAGTCAGGGGCCAAACACCCTACATCTTTGAGGAACACTCACTGAGCTTTTACCACGACCTGAGCTTGTCAACATTGCAATGGTGAGCAACTCTGAAAGGAGGGACATTGCAACTGAGAGCTGCTAATATTACATACAAACAGGGCCGGTCTTAGGGGTGTGCGAGCTGTTCGGCCACACAGGGCGCCGTGGAGCAGGGGGCGCTATGCAGCCGACACAGCTCACACATGGCCAGCCGGGATTATAATTTTTTTTTTTTAATTGCCCAACTATGCGGTGGGGGCAGAGCTTACTGAGACGGGACGTAGCTTACCGTGCGTCGGAGGCAGAGGTAAAATGATGGCGGGGCTAAATGCACCGGGTAACTGCAGCATGGGAAGCAGTAAGGAGTCCCTGCTTCCCCAACAACCAGTCTACAGGAGCTGCACTGACTCCACAAGGAACAGAGGTAACTATGTGTGATTGTCTGACTGTGTGTGTGACTGTCTTCCTGTGTGTGTGTGTGTGTGTGACTGTCTGTGTGTCTGACTGTGTGTCTGACTGTCTACCTGTGTGTCTGACTGTGTCTGTCTGTGTGTGACTGTCTGCCTGTCTCTGTGTGTGTGTGACTGTCTGCCTGTCTGTGTGCGTGACTGTCTGGCTGTGTGTGTGTGACTGTCTGTGTGTCTGACTGTGTGTCTGACTGTCTACCTGTGTGTCTGACTGTGTGTATGTCTGTGTGTGTGTGTCTGTCTGTGTGTGACTGTCTGCCTGTGTGTGTGACTGTCTGCCTGTCTGTGTGCGTGACTGTCTGCCTGTGTGTGGTTGTCTGTATGCGTGACTGTCTGCCTGTATGTGTGTGTGACTGTCTGCCTGTGTGTGTCTGACTGTCTGTGTAACTGTGTGTGTGTGTGTGACTGTCTGCCTCTGTGTGTGTGTGTCTGTGTGTAGCTGTCTGCCTGTGTGTGTGGCTTTCTGCCACTGTGTGTGTGGTTGTCTGCCTGTGTGTGTGTGTGTGACTGTCTTCCTCTGTGTGTGGATATCTTCCTGTGTGTGTGGATGTATGCCTGTGTGTGTGTGGATGTCTGCCTCTGTGTGTGGCAATGTCTGCCTGTGTGTGTGGCAATGTCTGCCTCTGTGTGTGTGGCGATGCCTGCCTCTGTGTATGTGGCTGTCTGCCTCTGTGTGTGTGGCTGTCTGCCTGTGTGTGTGTGGCTGCCTGCCTCTGTGTGTGTGTGGCTGCCTGCCTCTGTGTGTGTTTGGCTGTGTGTCTCTGTGTGTGTGGCTGCCTGCCTCTGTGTGTGTGTCTGCCTGCCTCTGTGTGTGTGGCTGTCTGCCTCTGTGTGTGTGTGTGTGTGGCTGTCTGTCTCTGTGTGCGTGTGGCTGTCTGTCTCTGTGTGTGTGTGGCTGTCTGTCTGTGTGTGTGTGGATGTCTGCCTCTGTGTGTGGATGTCTTCCTGTGTGTGTGAATGTCTTCCTGTGTGTGTGTGTGTATGTGTGTGTGTGTGTGTGTGACTGTCTTCCTGTGTGTGTGGCTGTCTGCCTGTGTGTGTGTAACTGCATGTAAGTGTGTGTGTGTGTGTGTGTGTGTGTAAGAATGTATGTGTGGCTGTATGTACGTGACTGTCCATCTGTACCTGTGTGTATGACTGTCTGCCTGTAATTGTGTGTAATTGTGTTTATCTGCCTGTAACTGTGTATGTGTGTGACTGTCTGTACCTGTGCTTTTCTGCCTGATCCTGTGTATGTGACTATCTGTCTGCGACTGTGTGCATGACAGTATTTGACAGTGTATGTGTATAACTGTGTGCATCTAACTGTGGGACTCACACATAGGCCTAAATGCATATTTTTAGATGAATTAAATACCTATCACACACAGCCAATAAACCCAGCAAAAATATCACCTACTACCAACACATGCATATCACACACAATTAATCCACCCATTACAAATATCACACACAGTCATCACACCTATCACATATACAGACAACACAAACATTACATCATATTATAGTGAGATGTATTACAGTGGAGCTTTGGTATATAAAATGCACATTACTCTGAGTTAGGGAACTCGGTGATACACTTATAGGCACATTACTTAGAGTTGTATTGTTGTGTAGTGTTTGAGCTTGTCACAGAGTTCCACATTACCGTGAGTTTTATTGTTGTGGAGCTCTGTGATAAACTGGCACAGACCACACTACTGTGAGGGCTTTTTGTTTCTGTGGAGCTCAGTGATAAATGGAGAAACAGCGCATTACTACAAATTTTTATTCCAAAGAGATCAAGGTAAATAATTATAATCCAGAGATCCAAAACAAAACCACACACAGTATTATGTGACATACTTAGTCTGCTCCTCTGTAATGTAGGGGAGGCAGTCTGGCACTTCTGGCCTGCAATTCAGACCAAAGTAGCTGTCTTCCTAGCTCGGGATAATCAGAGCGCAGCTTCAGATTACCACAGGATTGCCGCATATTAACACTGCAAGCCCCTGAACTTGCAAAACAGTTACACATGGTCTGTATCCAGTGGAGGGGCAGACCAGATTCAGATTAGCATGCCCCTCTCCCAACTAGGTTACAACAGGAAAGAAGGAATTAATATTTGTGTTTAAATTATTATTAATTTAATAAATCCCCTATACAATCACTACTTTCCTATACACACACTATACATGGATGACAGGGGAATAACTAATGTAGCTTTTTATCACCCCAGCAAGCACATGTGTACTGGTACGATGCATACGCAAAGGATTGCAAGTGCTCACCTAACGTGCGGACGACTTGTTTACAATCTAGTTCCTCCTATGGACTCCGTTCTCTTTGTGTTGATTATCATATGATTTTGTTTCCTTCTTTCTTCTCTCTTGTTTTTTAACAAAAAACAAACAAACAAAAAACAAAACAAAACAAAGCCAAAAAAAAATAATGCCCGTATTTACATAAACCAGCTGGTACACCCCATGCTCCGGGATTAAGGAGCACCCTTGTATACAAGGAAGATTCACAAGCCTCCGACATGCAGTTTTAAACACTAAATCTTGCCAATAGTATTGGTAAACCAAGAATATGGGCCTAAACAAGCCCAGACCCTCACAGGCTCTCTGATAAGTTAGAATCCCTACTGTTCACCCTGAGTTGATTTAGCTTAAGTTTACCAGTCTACATAATATGTAACGCAAGTTAATTCAGGTTTATCTTTTAAGCAGAGGCATAAGTATGGCATTCACTAAGTGTCTTGAAACAAAAAATTACTATTCAATGTAAAAAGTGCAACACTTATGACCTGTTATGTATCATATTTGCAATTTTGTAATCATATATCTTTTAGTAAATATGTAATTTTTAGCTCAACTGTATAACTTTGCACTACCAAAAATAATGTAAAAAAAAAAGAAAAAGAAAAACCTGCCTTAAAAGATAATTTTCTTTATAATAGAATGTAGACATGTGCACAGATTTTGTTCTAGGAGGTATGGACAGATCGATTTCCTTTTGGTCTGCGCCCGGATGAGTCGATTTTGCCTGTGGAGTCTTCATCATCGAATGGCACTATACAGTTTAATAATGGATGAATAATTCTTTGCTTGGATTGGGGGAAATTTGGTGAGGCATGTGGGGGGCAGAGATAGCCTATAGATCAGGGTTGTGAGGCATATGGGGGGCAGAGATAGCCTATAGATGAGGGTAGTGAGGCATATGGGGGGCAGAGATAGCCTATAGATCAGGGTAGTGAGGCATGTGGGGGGCAGAGATAGCTTATAGATCAGGGTAGTGAGGCATGTGGGGGGCAGAGATAGCCTATAGATCAGGGTAGTGAGGCAGAGATAGCCTATAGATCAGGGCAGTGAGGCATGTGGGGGGCAGAGATAGCCTATAGATCAGGGTAGTGAGGCATGTGGGGGGCAGAGATAGCCTATAGATCAGGGTAGTGAGGCATGTGGGGGGCAGAGATAGCTTATAGATCAGGGTAGTGAGGCATGTGGGGGGCAGAGATAGCCCATAGATCAGGGTAGTGAGGCATGTGGGGGGCAGAGATAGCTTATAGATCAGGGTAGTGAGGCATGTGGGGGGCAGACATAGCCTACAGATCAGGGTAGTGAGGCATATAGGGGGCAGAGAGAGCCTACAGATCAGGGAAGTGAGGCATATGGGGGCGAGAGAGCCTACAGATCAGGGAAGTGTTTGTGGGGCAGTGTGTGTAGTATGTGTATGGGGGCAGTGTTTGTGGGGCAGTGTGTGTAGTGTGTGTATGGGGGCAGTGTTTGTGGGCAGCGTGTGTATGGGGGCAGTGTTTGTATGGGGTGGAGGAGGGTAGGGAGGCTTTTTAATAATAATAATAAAAAAAAATGTATTTAATAAAATGAATATATTTATGTCCCCCCTCCCTTCTTACCAATACTGGGAGGAGGGGTGACATTTCTCCATCCTTGGTGGTCCGTTGGGGATTCCCTGGTGGTCCCAGTGGTGGTGAGGTGAACTCTAGCCCGCACTCCAGGGCTAGAGTTCGTTCTCGCGAGATTTTGAGAGTTGCTGTGGTAAACGCGGCAACGCTCCATGCTCGCGAGAGGAGGACCCGGAGGAGCCGCAGGCTGAGCTCCCGGGTCTTCTCTCCCTAAATCCCCTGCCAGCTGCCAGCACAGTGTGTAGCGGATGGCACTGGGCTGTCCTGGGAATTGTATTGGTTTTGACTGCATTCGTGTAAATGGCAAAGCTATATGTGTTAAATGTATTGTGTTCGTCTGAT